ATCAGTAAAACCTTGTTTGTAACTTGGGGAAATAATATAGTTAAATACTTACTATGAGCTATAATAGAAAAGAAATGGTGAAAATCTTTCAGTCCGAATAAGGACAGTATTAACACTAACAAAAACGAACAAGCCAGTGGCTAACACACTGGGTTCCTGTGAGGCTTGCTATGATATGCTATGCAGGGATGGTGGATTGTGTGTTTCAAGATAACAAGGGCCAAAGTTTATTTCACCAAAGGGCCTGTTACAGTGTGCACCGTTATGAACATAATTGTTATGTGTCTTACCCAGGTTCAACAGTGCTGAGATACAGCCCTTCACTGCCAAACACAAAGATAAACCAAATACCCGTCAACAAGCCAAGCAATCTTTAGCTCCATTATTAACATTGTGTGTTTATGCTCCCTCTGTGTTTAAAGAGCAGCCGCATTGCTGAGATCTGTGGCCCTGGTTTCATTTACTCTGCGATTGAATCAAAACAGACGGCCATGCTATAAATATGACGGGGGCCCTCGCTGTAAATCAGAAAATCAAATTCTAAAATTTCCGGTTAGGAGTCTTGTCTTTGCATAATGGATTGCACTGTCATTTATCATGGTGACACTTACAAGTCACAGCTGAAAAGGTGCTTTATTAGATTTCTTTTTTTTTTAACCAATTTTGATTTATTCTTGTTGCAGCGTCCGTTTACCAGCCTGAGCAGAATCTTACCGTTCCCTCAGCTCAGTAAAGCGACCACAGATACAGGGCAGAATTCTCTCACTGTTCCTAACCTACAGCCAAATGATGTCTTGAGGACAGCTCTCAGTCATCGGTCTTTTAAACGCAAATCAAGCATGAGGTTGCTTAACAGCCTCCATCTATTCTGTTCTTGCCTGGTATTTTTTAGATTTGTTGGCCCATTTTTGCCATGGCTCTGATCAATAGCAGTAATGACAAAGATTCGATGCGCTGTATGAGTCCCTCCGGTCACTGGTGCTTCATGATATATTCCAAGCTCTGGATAGACAATTTCTGTCCAAAAAAGCTCGGAGGAAACAACCACTGCAGTACATCTTGCAGTGCTAAATGAGTCTAGCGGGGGCTGCAATTGCTACACAAATGCAATGCCTTCTGAATAATGAAAGTCAGAGAAAGGAGTGAGCCAAATCTGCAGAGGACAAAAATCTGCACTGATTCCTCTCTGTAGTGGCAGGAAAAGGGAAAAAGATGCAGCTATCCATCCTGCAATGTGAATTTCCTATGGGCACAGCTGGAAGCTCCATTGTTGGATCATTTAAAACAAGGTTGAAGAGTGTAGTAGAATTGTCTGCTGCAGAGACCGACCTGCTATGAGTCTGGTCCAGATGATACAGGTGCCAGGTCCAATTTTGCTTAAAAATACACACATTTCAGCACATGTGGCTTGATCCTCAAGTCGACATGTAGGCAAAAACGTCCACTAATCCAATGGGAGTTTTGTCTGAGTGCAGACTAAGACCTGTGGGCGCTTGTCCTTGATACCGCTGACCTAGACTGTGAATTGATTAGTCTAGTATACCCTCCAAAACCTAGATTTAAAGGTCAGCAGTCGCTCTTCAAACACAATTCATTGTAACTTGAATTTGCTGAGTCGCACTCGTTACATTTTGAGGGAAATGTGCCAGGGGCTGGAATTCTTTTGGGGCAGGACGTGTGCTTGTTCAGAGTCAGAAACTAAACCCGGCTGTTCCATGCTAGCCTTGGTCCTGGCAGTGATTCCTACACAATTACCATTAAAATGAATATTTAGGGTAACGCCTCAGGGTAGGCTGTAGGGATCGAGCTTAGGACTTCTGCACCGGAAAAACACAAACCTCTACTGCCTGAGATCAAACTCTTTTAGCAAAAAGTCAGTAGCAGACCCATAAACCTCTGTGTGGTTCAGCCCCAAGAGGGGGACAGAGCCACTCACTGTAATTGTGGGATATAAATGGAATGTCAGGCTACAGATGCCATACGGGAAAGATCTATTCACAGATTCCAAACTCATAAGGAACCATTGTGATCATCTAGTCTGACCTCCTGTATAACACAGGCCATAGACCTTCCCCAAAACAATTCCTGGAGCAGAGCTTTTACAAAAACATAATGTAAAAATGATCAGCAATGGAAGAGTCCACCACGACCCTTGGTAAATTGTTCCAATGGTTAGTTACTCTCACCGTTAGAAATGTACCCCTTATTTCCAGTCTGAATTTGTCTACCTTCAACTTCCAGCCATTCGACCGCCTTAGACCTTTCTCTGCTAGATTAAAGAACCTGTTATTAAATATTTGTTCTCTATGTAGATACTTATATACTGTAATCAATGATGTGTAGCTGCATGTGGTATGTTGTTCAGCAGGGCAACAGTTAACAAATGGTCATGCAGCCCTTGATTTTTTAACATTCCCCTTACCCTGGAGGTTGAACTCCACAGAAAAACACTGGGCTCTTGTAGACAAGACCCTTATGGCAGGACAAGGGGAATCTTATGGTGTCAGGATAGTAAATAGCCTTTCAAGTTTTCACCCCCAGTAAGATGAGTGGGAGACATCCCAAACTTCTCTTAAAACTATTCCTCTGCTACTAATAGTGCTGCAGACACAAGTAGTCAACTGTCTCCTTGATCGATTGGTTAGGTTTTGTCTTCGTTAGTGCTAGAGAAACATCATTCTGTTGAAGGAGCTATTTAATAGTCAGGAGAGAAGAGATTCAAAATAATGACTCCTCCATTTCCTAGGCTGTGCACAGACTCCAACTACAGGACACTAATGGACTTTAATGGGAAGTCGAGCAGTTTTAGACCCATCACATTGCTTGAGAACAAAGAGTAAATCTAATTTGCACTGATTTTTGCCACGATGTGGATTTGGATTGCTCTCGGCTACAGGCAGATTTGTGAGACTCATGAAAAATGGGAGACCTACCCGGATTCATTACTTGTGTAATAACCTGAAGACTCTGGGTAAGGCTATAAAGGTACCATCTCAGTCCAGCAAGGTTTCCATTGGGAGTGTTTCATACTTGAATTTCCTTTCCTCTACTCCATGTAAATGTAGCCGATTTACCATCGTAAAAATCCCCATTACATTTTTAACAAACCGATGAGAATGGATACATGAGGCTTCCCTCTCTTTTCTGCTACACTTTGACAGAGTAGCGTTAAAAGGAAGAGGTGGTGTACGGAACAGAGTATTGAGCGGTTTTATAACACACTAGGCTTGAAGATGGGCAGCTCGTTCATTTTCAGCCAGCATTTGCTCTGCTCTGTTTCAGAACCTCCCAGAAAGTGAAGCCACTCCGACAGAACTGGTGCTGATTTTCAAGACTTACCACTACTTGCTATTTACTCCTGCCAATGTATTTCTCCATAAAGGATGCTTGCCAGTTCAGTCCTGGCCAACGCTCTTCCTGCTCTGCAAGGTGAAGTTCAAAGAATAACACTGAGTTACTGTATCAAAAACACTCCCTTTCCTGAAAGCCAGGAGGAATTATGAAAGCAGCAGGATGGTAGGTAAGCATCAGAGATGTGTGAACCTCACATGGATCTGTGTTTGGGTTCAGTTAAGGTCAGAATCTAAAACTCTCAATGTGCCTCTCACTGGGTCTGTAACATTAGGTTAAAAATTTTAGGAATAACAGGCTCTCTTGGGGGATTTCCTTCACTTCCATCTGGCAAAAGCATGAGAACAGCCAGGAGGGGGCCATAAGGACAGAGACAGACAAGTTCTGGATCTACAGGGAAGCTGTGATAGAACTGTGGCCACCACAATTTTCTCTATCCATGGAGTTTGTGCCCACTGAGTCCTTTCCAGCCTTCTTGCTATCCGGTAACTGAGTAGACCCGGGGATACCGTCTTGGCACAAGGCAGTGATGCTGGTGGTGGGGTCTGCTGAGCTTGGTGGGTGCAGTGGAAGAGGGCGTGATTTTAGGGGACTATAGAACACCATGCTCCAAGGGCCGGCTGTGAAACCTCTCTTGTTGTGGTGTTTTGGCATGGCTCAATCTGTCTCTGGTTAGAACCTGGAAGCCAAAACTGAAGATGAAAAGATGTTAAAAATTTCAGACCATGTAAGAGGTTCTGAGCTGCTCTCTGACAGCCAGTGAAAGTTCAGGGGTGTGTGTGGGTGAACACTGACTCTGTCAGAGCCAGGTCATCCAGAGGTCTGGATGGCATCACACCTGCGTTTCTCTGACTGCAGCAATGCCCCGTATCGGTAGAGAATTTTCTCAGGAAGAAGCTCAGCTCAGTCTCCTTGTTCACTTGAATCACCAGGACTCTTGCACATACCACAGCACGGGGCTTATGTGAGTACAAATTACATTACCATGTCGAGCAACTTTGTCAGCAGTTTCTTGTAAACTATTTGGGCCCCTCTCTAGTGGGCATTTCTATTCAAACGCCTCCTTGTTCGCTGTTAACCCTCACTGGGCTACTCATATAATTTGAGCTTTTTGGTGTCCCAATGGGGCGAAAGGGGGAAGGAACAGTTAGAGGGTTGGTTCTAATATTTCCCCTCCTGCTGCTTATTAAACGTTTTAAATTCCCTGCTGCCAGAGTCCCAGAGAGGCATGTTTGCCACAGTCATAAATGATTTAGTTTGAATGAAAGCCAGTTTCCAGGCTAATAAAGACAGCCCCCAAAAGCAAGAATTCTGGAGTATGGATTTGCTGCACTCTTCAATGGTACGTCAGTGGGAGACTATCCTACTACTTACAGACTCAAATTAGCTTCCTAAAATGAAGTTGCTTTATTGGACACAGCCCAGTGGACTGCTGAACACACAACCTGGTGTACTGAAATACTATGTATTTAATGAGGTTGTGTTTACAACTTCGGTGCATTCAACCCACCTAGAGAACAGCTCTAGGCACGAGAGAGGATATTTTCCAATAGAGTGGGAGGATCTTTTTTGGCCTTTACTGGCTTTTTAAACTAAAAACAGGATTTGCGCATGGACCAAAAAAGAAAGAGAAAAAAAATCTACTATCATAATGAAAAAGACTGTTTTTTTTAATTCCAGTTCAGGAAGGAAGAGAATCATCTTGCAAGTTAATATATCCAGCTCCTTTTGCCTCTATAATCTACTTCTGTGCAGCAGGAGCCCAAGAAACACTTTCTGTCCCAAGTGAAAGCTGAAAACTCCTTGTAAGTTCTCTTTTGAGGCACACGATTCAGACAGTCACTTTGAGAGATTTGGAATCATTGTCATCTTCCGTTTCCAGCGTGCCCAGCGTTTCTGAGCTGTTATTCGGGTCGAAGGCTATCTGTCCCTGTCCCAAATAAGAAAGGATTAGGATGAAACAAGTTAGCACAGACACCCATTTCTCACTTCACACCAAGTAACCCATGGATGTACGTTTACAACTCCCCACTTTAAATTCCTCACAAAAGGGAAAAAAGGACAAAGAGACAGTAAATTTCACTGTGATCACACTACGGCAAAATATACCTTCTGTTCATTGCAAAAAACATGTGAAGGCCAAATTTAAAATAAAAAAAAAAGAATGTTGCATGAGTTACAGTGCAACCATATTCTTTCTCTCTTTATTTTCCTCCCCCAGCCAGGTTCAGTTTAGAAAAAGGATTGAGTACAACACAGTCAGGTAAGTGGCCACAAAAGAGTAGCTGTCTTTGGCAAGAAGTCACCGCATTGACCCTCTCTGTCACCTTCTGCCCATTTCGCTCTGTCTCATAAAATGGATGTTGTTGGCGCTGTCTGAGAGTTCTGGGTATTGCTCCACTGAGATCACAAAGTAGCCATCATAGCCCTGCACCCGGCCTGTGTTTAGCACTTGCTGCTTCTCCCCTTCTGTCCACGAGCGAATGCCCTCCTCCCCATCCTGCAGTCTCTGCTGCTCCCTGGCCCAGGCCTGGGCTATGGCGCGCTGCCTGGCCAGCTCCAGCACGCGGGCTTTCTCCTCGTCCAAGGTGGTCCCATAACGGGTGTTTAGACACAGTGCGCCATGCTGGAGCTGGATGTCTGTGTAACGTCTAGTCCTTCCACTGAGCACTGTGTTGATCTGGGACACTGTAACGTTCACGCCGTTCTCCAGGGTTCTCCGCCCGCCACTGAGGCCCAGTATGGACAAGTCGCTTTCTGACGGCCCTTGCTTAACGAAATAATGTGTGTCCACTCCCTCTATGGTGAAGTGCAAGTTCTCCAGGTAGTGGGCGTTGTTCAGAATAGCTGCGATCCGGCGTCCATCCTCGTTGGCCAGACTGATGATGTCAGTGGCCACACGCCCATCCTTCATGGCAAACTTGACCCCTTTGCCGAAGACAGATCCTCCCGAGGCAAAGTTCTTGTTCTCCTTGAGCTGCCGGCACCCGGCGATGCTGGAACTGTAGATCTGTTCAAAGCGCTCTAGGGTGACGAAGGCTTTCAGCTGTTTCTGCACTTCACACTGCACTCCCAAGATTGACTGGGAAGGGAGAGAAGGAGAGAGAGAGACGCAAATTAGAAAGAGATGCCGGGGGACTGAAAGGTATCGCTAGCACATTGGAGAGCAGAGAAATAACATGACATGATCCAGTGAGAAGAGCCAAATGGTTCTGCTTCCTCTAGCTACTTCTTAACGTTGGTCTGAAAAATAAAGTCTTTCTTTTTAATGAAACAACTGATTGAGATTCCTGTGCTTGCAGGCTATTCTCCCTAACTGCCATCATGCCAAGACACCGAACTGAATGTAACGTCATCCCTCTGACAGAGTGGAACACTGGGGTGGAGAGGGACCCAGCACGGAGGGGAGATTAGGGTTAGTGGTGACAGTGAGAGACAGTTGCATTCTACCTCACTCCTTCTGTGACCTTGGGAAAATTAATTGCTCATGCGTCAGTTTTCCTCATCTGTAAATCAGAAATGATTCATAGCTGATTACCGGGAATTTTCTAGTGATTAATATTTGTAAAAAGCTTTGAGAAAAGGTGTTCAATAAGCTCAAAGTATTTAAATAGTAGCAGTTTCCTTCTGTTTTAACCTGCTTTTGATTCCACCCTGCATCATCCTCCAAGGCCGCACATCACAGTGTGATCCTCACTCTGTCCAAAACACTCTTTTCCAGAGCCCCTCAATGCCACTTGAAGCATTGGCCAAAATGGATCATTCAACAGTCAAGTGAGGTGCTAACGCTCCCCTCCCCTCACTGCTACAGTGCTCCCAGTCTTCCTGTGGGATCAGGTCCTCAGCTATTAAGACTCAATCTTGAAGCTCAATTTTTACAGAGGCAAAGCTCCCATTGACATCAATGGGAGCTCTGCCTGAGTAAGAACTGCATAGGGACCACAGCCTTTGATCACCTGTAGACAGTTTTAATGCAAAGTGACTTTTGCTGTTAGCATATAAAGGAGCGAATGCTCTGAATGATTCAGCAGCTTATCATTACCGAAAAATGTCTGTAGAAACATACTCATCCATTGACGGGAGTACCGTCTTCTTTCCTACTCCTGTCCAGGAACAATTATCTGCTCAAATTTCACAAAAGCGAGACGATGCCGTAACAAAAGTCTCCTGTCTTGGCCAAGGGCTTAATTCACTAAGGTAACGACAGCCAGCATTAAAAATAGGTTACAGAGGAAAGGGGGCCACCCTCACTTTTTTTTAAAGTGAATTTAATAGCTGTGAAAGGTGCTGGCTTAACAGCCTGGAAACTAACACTCCTGTTTTCCTTAATATGCCTTAGCCCTTTCCTGGCGAGACCCTTTTTTAGGGGTGACAGAGGACAATTCAGACTCCATGGTTAGTCCAACTTTGGCGTCTTGGCTGAGTCAATGCTAATTTACATGGGGCTGTTATGAGCTCTATTTTGCTGTTACATATTCGATTTATAATATTCTAGCAATGAGAGGCTGAACTGCTACAGGACCGTCCAGTGAAGGATCTCCAAGCTTTTTACAACAATGAATACGGTTAGCCTCGTGATGCCCAAGAGGGTATATTAGCAGCCTCATTTTAGCTATGAAGAAAGCGAGGCACAGACGATTAAGTGACCTGCCAAATGTGTCACTAGAAGTTTGTGGGAGGCCCTGTGAGGCTAAATTCTGCACTGACCTATCGCCTGTGCGAGGCACCTGAAAGCAGTGGGGTTGTAGGCAAACTCCATTAGGACACAACGTGACCAATGATAAAGAGGCACAAAAACAACCCTTTCTCCAACATGACACTACAGATGTAAATGCTATAAACTCCCAGAGGGCCTGATCCTGAGTGGCATGGAACATCTGAATCTCCTAGTGACTGCTCTGTGATGAGGGTGTTGTGTTATAACAAAAAAAACCTCAGATTCTGGATGCTGCTCAGGAGGACTGACGAGAGACACATGCTGAGCCTGCTCCCATTGAAGTCAAAGGAGATTTTGCCACTGACATCAACTGCGACCCAAGCAGGTCCAGTAATGAGCAAATCTGACATGGCTTGAATGGGCCATGGAAAAGTTGGCTGGATAAGCTTGTCCTATAGCTTTGGTCTGGAGAAAGAGATTCTATGGGGAGGTTCTAGCTTGCCCTCCTTTTCTCAGGCTTGTCACAGAGCAATAAAAGCTACTCCTGTGTCCTGAGCTATTTCAGCTGCCATCCCTGTCATGATTAGGGAGGGAAGAGGGACAAGAATAGTAAATCCCACTATTGCTAAACCCCTTTTGGGACTCAGACCAAAAGCTTAAGCTCCCTTTGAATTCTGGGCAAAACTGCATGGAGTTTTATAGGGTGGGACCTGGTTTGCCTGTTCTTCAGTGTGTACCCCAGAATTTAAGGTGACGAAGGGCTTTCTAGACCAGCCTTCCCCATGCAGGGCTGGTCCAGTCCTCTTATATATAGTGCACGGTCTGGTCTGTTTCTCAACAGCCAGGTGACGGGCCTCCCTCGTGAGACTACAGCACAGCCTACTGCATGTCACTGAGAGGAAGGGTGCTGGTCTTGATGTCCAGCCACAACATGACCTTTACAGATGCAGCCCCACATGAGATTCCCCTTCACTGGCCACGCCATTTAATTCTGGGCAAACCATGAAGGGTGCCATACTGACAAAGTGCTCGTGCCCTTCAGAATCAGGATGCCCTGGAGAATTTGCATAGCTGCATTTTTTCCCTTCTCCATTCCTCAGCTGCTCTGATTACCAGCTGGCATAGTACTGGGTCCCTTATTAATCAACTCCGAGGTTCTGCTGACACTACAAGACACAGCTGAAATGTAACTTTGCCCCATCCTGCCGTAGCAGAGCAGGGCATGTATTCTTTGACTCGGGGAATACTCAGGCAGATGGCTAAGTTAAGATACAGATAGACTAAATGTCCTAGTTTTTTGTCACCAACTCAGGCCGTTAAATACTAGATTTAAAATCTGTGTTTAGCCTCCTTTGTGTTTCATGGCACCATATTAAAACATATGACTTTTCCTTGACTTAGTAATACACCGCATTTGTGCGGCTCACAACATGACAGAATACTTCACCGACTCATATGGCCAACATCATTCAAAAATAAAAAACAAAACCCAAAATACACCTGGACATAATATCTAGACTGAGGTTTAGTGGGAGTCCCCAGGATATAACAGCACTAGTGCTTAGCACCTGTCACCCAAAGATCACAGTGTTCCACAGCACCTCAAACATCTGGCTTGTTTTGTCTGTCTTGTCTATTTCTAGCAAGGACCGTCTCTTCCTTTAGCTTTAGAAAGCACCTCACTGCAGGAGTAATTTCAATCAACAATAAGGAGGTGCAGAGAAATGAAGGGACTTCCCCAAGGTCCCACAATGCGTCAGTGGCAGAGCCAGGAATACAAACCAGGTCTCCTGACTACCTATCCTGTGCCCTAACCACTGGACGCTGCTTATAGCTATAATTATTCTAGCCAAGTAAATTGAGGGGTTGCTTCTGAGCAACACAAGGCACTTGTGCTGGCTCCCAGAGGGGCTTAGCTATGGTGCTGCTCTACCATTCCCAACTTTCGCTATCCAGGGACACAAATCTGCAAACTAAGGTCTTCCACATGGTAGCGCAATGCATCATCACTCATAATTAAAAATGTCTCGGTTATCTTGAAACTGAGTCCTATAATATGGGAGGACTTTGAAAACTGCTTAATTTAGGATCTGATGACCTTGAGTGTATCCCTTTAATAACAGAGTGTATTCTTTTTTTTATTTAAATAATCTTCATATATATATATATATATATAAACCTCAGCCTGTATGCTACCCTGTGAAAAGAAAAGGGGGAATGCAAACAGATTATGCAGAGTTCAAAGAGACAGCGTATCCCTGCCTTTGAAATACTCAAATCATTTCTGTTTCATCTGACAACCCATTTTAATGAACTAGCAAGGAAGAGAAACATAAAATTACCATCTGAGCTGAAGATGGCACAGAGCAGAGCTCTCTAAAAATGCTGTAGCTTTTGGCAACTGTAACCCAGAGGTACAGTATAAAAACAGCATTAAAGCAGAAGGGAGTTGTGGTGGGACTTATTGGTTATTTTATTTTAATATTTGTCACTATACACAACTGACATCTCTAATCTGGGTTTGTTTTTCCTTAAGATCTTTTTTAATCAGATGCCCTTAAGTGACATTTTACTTTATCTAGTAATGACCCATTGGAGAGAAGAGACTGACCTTCATTGTTTGTTTGCTACTGTACAGGCTCAAGAGAATAGTACATTACAGTGATCTTGGAATAGCTGCTTGTATTTTGCCTGCAGTTCTTGAGGATTTAAAATATCACAGCTAGCTTCTATCATCTCTTGTTTTTAAATAGTGCTTTACCCTGTGATACCTAGAGCTTTCATTTCCCATCATAAATAGCCAAGATGTGAAAGAAATTTGAACCTGTTTCCTTGTTTCTACTTGTACCAATATACCGTGGGTGTATATTTCCCTTACTAAAATATGGGCTTATTGTTGACTTGGTGAGTCTAGGCTATGACTAAGGAAACTTTATGGAGTGACAGTAGCATTGTAGACTCAGGCAGGTATATTATGGGAGCTCAAGAACTGGGGAGAGGCACTGAGACCTCAGTTTGAGTCCAGTACCCCAAGTAAAACATCTTTGCATTAGCTACACCAGAGACTTGCCTCCTCTATGCCCCTGACAACACTGGAGAGGGGTGAAAGTGGCCACTGGGTAAGTAAAGGAGCTCAGTTAGAAGCCCACAAGAAAGAAATTGTGACCAAAAGAGAGCTTAGCTTGGCTTTATTACACAAAATGACCCAGTCACAGGGTAGCAACTGAGTTTGCTTTGTGCTATGACTGCAACTGTAGTGATCCACTGAAAGAGAGGAGTGTCAATAAAAAAGCTATACAATAAAGGGGCTTAATCTGTTTAATTTATCTAAGAGAAGATATACAGGTGACTCTATCATGCTCTCCAAGTACCTACATGGGGTAGAGATTTCTGATAGTAGAGAATTCATTCATCTACCAGAGAAAGGTATAATGAGATCCAATGGTTGACAGGTGACACTAGAAAAATTAAGATTAGAGAGAAGGCACAAATTTTACCAATGAGGGTACTTAACCACAGGAACAACTTATCTAGGGACCTGGTGGATTCTCCATCACTGGCAATCTGTAAGTCAGGACTTCATGTTTTTCTGAAAGATATGCTATACGTCAAGCAAAAGTTACGGGCCCAATGCAGGGATTCTTGAGTGTAATTTGTTGGCCTACGCTATGCAAGAGATCAGAGGAGATGATCTATCATTTGTGTTTCATCTTACAACCCATTTTAATGACCTACCAAGGAAGAGAAACAGAAAATTACCATCTGAGTTGAAGATGGCAGAGAGTAGAGCTATGGTTCTTTCTTATCTTAAAAATCTACTGATCTGATTTTTTGAAGGTGTTTGTTTTGATAATTTCAAAATGTTTCATTACAACTTTGACCTTTAATTTTTTAACCTGTTTTTTTTAGTATAAATTAATTAAAATAACCAAGAAAAAATAAACAATGAAAGAAATTACCTATAAGAGTTTCAAAACCTTTTTTTTCAATTCCCCCCCCCCCGCCCCCCGCAATTGGGAGAGTTGTCAAACTTGACCCTTCCCCATGAACAGGCTTGGTTTTGACACACTGGCATTTTCCAAGGAAAAACACGTTTTGTCAGAAAATTCCTGACCAGGTCTCTGTTTTAGTTGCCGAGCTTTCGGCACTAAGTTTGTGGCCTTTAAGCTTAAGTCATTAAATCCAATTAAAACAGACATAGTGAGTGGAATCTCCCATCGCCCGCGTGGGGGAGGGAAGCATTACAATCCCCACTTTGTAGATGAAAGAAACTGTTGCACGAAAGGTCAACTTATACACCTTCATGGTAGGCACAGAGGGTTCACTTGGGGTGGAACTGGTGTGGCTTCAGTGTGGAGGAGAGACAGGGACAGGATGCAGTGAGTTTGTACAGGGACTGTGCACCTGCACTGCAAAGTCCAGCTTCATTTGGGTGCCCTCTGTGACCACATGGAGGAGGATGGAGCAATGGCAGGCCAGGACCGAGGATCTGTCACTATGTCAACCCCCTCGTCCTCCCCCATCTCCTCTAGGCAGAAGTGTTAGGGGCACAGGGGCTGCAGTCGGCTCTGTGGGATCTGAGAGCACTGCAGCACCACCCTACAGAGATTCCTAGCATTCAGCCTGGGCACTGGGGAGAGGATTTCGCCCCACTAAATTCCAGCCCTGTGCATGAACTACAAGGCCGTTGCCGTTTTTAACCCCCGACAGAGAAAAATAAGGTGGTTCTTGTTGGGAAAAAAAGGGTTGGCTCCATTTTAAAACTGACAGGATGAGCAGAATTCACTCCTAATCAATCAGATTTGCAAGGCAGGAAGAGTAAAGCCTTGTGAGGGTGTGGAGGATCCTCCCCTTCGGAAGTTACTTTAGAATACACAACAGCCTATTTCATTCCACAGCCAAAACAATTCAGATCAGCCTCTGCCTCCTTCAGTGTGCAGACGAAAACCAATAGCTGAGCTGGGCTACCCTTCCCCTGCAGCCAACGGTGCAGACAACAAGCCGCAGGTATCAGAGCCCCAGAGCTCATGAGACTGAGAGCAGTATAGTTAATGAAATGATGACTGATTCCAGCCCTCCCTCCCCCGCAAACAGAGCTGTACGACCGCCCGCAATTACTCGGTAATTCAACAAGACGAAAGGGGAAAAGAAGCAAAATTGGATTCAGGTGCTGCAGCTCTGAAATATGCCAGAGGTCACGACGCATCCCCTGCTGGCCAATAACGCTGAACTTGTTCAACAAACCATTTAGTGGCAGCCTCACAGGCGGAAAGCGCAGCACAAGAGAGTACTGGATTTTAAATGTCACTCTGGAGCTGCAGGGGGATAACTAAGCTAAGCTGAACGTAGCGCAAGGTTTATGGCATGCTGGATATTTCCAAGCTGGGGGATGCTCAAACTCAGCATTAGGTCTCCAACCTCCCATCCCTGCAAGGCAAATACAGCCCAACATTATGTGAAGTGTTACCTGCCTGGTTCTTCTCCTCAACCTTCTCAGATAAGGGAACTGATTCTGATCTGTTAGACCATTACAGTGATGTGAATCAGAAATCACTGCAGTGGCAGCGTGGACTAACTCCGAATTTACATTGATGTAACTCAGGGAAGTATCTGGCCCACTGAGATCTGGGATCCAAGCAGGGCTGGCTCTAAGTTTTTTGCCACCCCAAAAATAAGGGTGGCCTGCTTGCTTTGCTGGTGCCTAGAGCCAGTCCTGGATACAAAGAGTTAGAGAAAGGGAAGATCTGTTACCCAATCTAGTTGATACCATTGGAGCTAATGCAGAGTTGTCTGCAACAGTGTATTTTCACATGCCTTGCCCAGACTAGTTTTAAATGAGCCCAGCAATGGGACTCCACCACACACCTTGGAAGGCCATTGCACAGTTTAACCAGTCTAACTTGCAGGAAGTTTGTCCTATGCACTGGAGAGTGCTGTCTCTGAGTTTATGCTGGGAAGAGAGCAGTACGCAAGACGCTTGGGTTTTAAGTGACTTTTGTTTTCAAGGTGCTAATCTCGTTTTGTACATGCAGTATTGGTCGCCAAAAATGAACTACAAACATCCTGATTTAGGCCTGAATTAGCGTACAGTGATTTGGTACAAAATCAAGCCAAGTAAAATTTAAGCTGTCAGTAACAGCTTTCTTATGGAGAAAGCTTTTACACTGTGGGGTAGTCTCCTAAGGGAAGTAATGGGAGTTTGTTTGCTTTTAAAACCAAACTGGACAAAGCACTAGAAAATATATTCTAGAAAACAATTCTGTCTTGGGGCATGGGTGAATGATCCAACAGGTGTTTTCTATCAGCTCTGATTCCTTGGTTTAGGGAGCTAGCAAGTGATCTGTGGTAACATCACATGTTTAAAGAAAGAAAAACAGTGCAGACCAGTTTTGTTCAGCAGTCACCAGCAAGTATCACAGAAAGGACCCACGGGTGATAAAAAACTTCAGATGGGATTACTTAGTCACATTTCATTACTGAAGTGGGAAGGGACAGCAGCTACTCAGAAGCTGACTTTCACTCCGGTGACCTTGAGCATCTGCAATAGCAGATTGATTGTAATTTCTAAAGTGAATACTGCACCTGGATCCCGTGGTGACATGTGCCAGGCCAGTGCCTAAAATAGACAGACTACGTGGTCACATGGCTCACCTTGCTATTGTCCCACTCTTGGGTTTTCATCTGCGTGTGGATAAGCTCATATGATGGCTCCATTGCATCCGTATCTGGCTTGGGATATCCCGGGATAACATTGTGTAGTTGGAAACCAAAGGTAAGCAGCCAGCTGTTGACATCTGGGATGTGAGAGAAGCATAAGTAGGATTACCTTTTATTGTTCTTTGTACTGCAGTTGAGCCTAAAAGTCCCCGCCACTGACCAGGACCCCATTGTGCGAGGCACTGTACAAACCTGGGACAAGATGACAGCCCTGGCCCCAAAGAGCTTACTACATTTCATGTATATGAGTAACCCCAGCAGAAATGATTCTTTAAAGTATCACATTCCAAAATTATGGAGGACGAAGGAAATAACCACAAAAAACAAACAGCATCCAGTCCAAGTCCTCCACTTTTCCACACAGCTGAAATATACATTTTGTTAAAACTGTCAAAGGCCAAAGCAATCTTTCTGTCTCCAGAACTTCTCAGAGTTTGTAAGGCACCACGCACAAGAATGGTGCAACGCAGAGCAAAAAGCACAGGAACAAAAATATAATACCAAAGGTCGAGCTGTTCAAACCTGCCTAAGGATTTAGATTCTCGAGGCGGCTTTGCAAATTCTCAGCTTTAATATTGGTCACCCGGAAGCATCCCAAGTGGTTTACAGGCTATGGGATAAATTGAGGTGCTCATGAGCCAGCACATACAGGTAGGGAGCAGCAGGGCAGTCGTACTGGACACTTGGGGCAGGAGCTGAGTGGGGGCTTTTGATATACCTCTTAAAGGTGTATCCACTGCTTGTGTAGGTAAAAACCACACTTTTAATTTAGCATAGGTAGGTTCCTATAGTTACATTTTTTTTTCAGTATTGTTAAAAAACAGCCTCCACATGATCATTCCATTTACAAACATTGGGCCTGCCACAGTCAAACTGACCTGCCCTTACATCGTGAGCAGATCCATGTATATATGATGGTCAGACTCAGTGGAGTACCGTCCAGGAAGCTCTTTTATTCTGTACTATGATAGAGGGGGAATGTTGGAACCAGAAGGGAAGTGATAGCAAGCCCATTGCTTGGGAAGCTGAAAATTATACCGGAGAACACACTGCTACTATATGAGCCACAGGGAGCATTCCTGCTTGGGCAGGAAGAGGCACTCAATACCCTGCTAAGTCTTTTCAGTCTCTAACATCTTTGATTCCAAGGCTAACGGGAAAGACAGCCAAGTGAGGAGCTAGCTGGAGAAAATAATAACTCACTTGGCTAGCTCCTGGATCTGCCTGGGAGCAGCATATAAAAGACTTCCCTATTTATCTACTTCACAGCGTATGATGATTCTAAGCTCGCTTATCTCCATTGACTCCAGAAGGAAGGAAGGAAAAATGGACACTACTATAATTACCAATAACCTCCCCGTCATTTACCCAGCCTCTGAATACCATCCTTTGCTGGGAAAAGCTGAGGGGATGAGGGTCAAAGTTTAATTAACTGTCAGCTCCCAAGGGGTTTAGGACTTCCATATTGTAATTAGCATCGTGTTGGTGATTCATTTGTTTCAAGCTCCAGTGTATCAACAAGAAGTTTTCTTTTCATTTCATCAACTTGAGCTGACACTAGTGGGACATTCTGGATGAGGGGATCTGTTCAAAAAACATGGCTTTTTCCTCACATGAGTTTAAACACGTGTTTCTGAAGACCGTTGGAAAAGCATTCGGGCTGCAAATGAGAAATAGCATGCTTCCAGATGATTGGGGAATCAGAAGCCAAACAAAGACAGTATCTACTGCTTGTTTTCTTGCAATCCAAAATTTTGAGTTTGGGGCTTGGGTCCAGAAAGCCCTTGCATCAATCTGTGTGCAAAGAGGGGGATTTCTGTAATAAAAACACTTTTTTTCTCTCTCCACACAGATTGTTTTAGAAGTGTCTTTGGAGGGAAGGGGAGGTGTGTGCTTGCGGGGGTGTGGGGGGGAAATAAAGCTTTGTTTATTTTTTTATTTGGTGATGAGGCATCCCTGTTTCCAAATCCTCCTAATATGAAATTAACAGCTTTGATATGCATATTTTGGACCAGATGGCCAGGAGAACAAAGTAAATCTATATAGGGCAGAAGTTATTCACCAAACATGTTCAAAACAATGTCAAAAGAGGCACAGAGGGGGCTGCTGAACAGCAGGAAAATATGTAATGTCTGAAAAGATTCGATCCAGTCTTTGTCGGTTGCGTCTCCCAAATCTGACTTTGAAAACATCTGTAAACAGGTGTTGCTCCTTTTTTGGGGGGTGGGGGGGGGAGGAGAGGGTGGATTGGAAGGAGCAGGAAAAATGAAGTAGGTGGAAGGAGAGGTTAAGAGAATGGGGGGAAATATTAATTTGCCAGTGGCAATGACACTTTTTTTCCTTTTTGAAAGAAAAGTACATTTCGAATCACAGCTTGTTTCAGCTACAGTAGCCCTGCCAACACATTTCACAGGACATTCGTTCGAGGGCCCTGAAAGAGACTGCTTAATGCAGACACGTGTAATGAAAATGTCAGTTCAATCCATCAGGCTTCCCAATGTTGGCAGCAAAGCTCTGCATCACGAAGTATACGATTGCTAAAATATTCATGCTGAACAATGGGCCTCTCAGAACGTAAATGCCTGCTCTGCCCACTCTCCCTACCCCACGCTCCCCATTCCTAGACACGTGCTTGGGAATCATTGACTGGGAAACTGAGGCTGGCCTACTCTGAAAACGTACATGGGCGAAGTTACGTCTCTTCCGGGATGTGAGAAATCCATATCCCTGAGAGACGCAGCCACGCTGCCCGAACCCGCGGTATAGACAGCAGCTACTGCGTTCCAGGCAGGTGAATTAACTGCAGTGACAGGGGGAACCCCTCCCATCACTGCAGTGAGTGTCTACACTGAAGTACTGTAGCATTTTAAGTGTAGACACAGCCTGAGGCTTGTATCGCTGGTCTGTGTGAGTGCACCTGCCTGGCCTAAGTGAGTCAGACCATGCCAGGGGGTGAGGAAGGATTCTGCCCACACCCCTCAACAGTGTATTGGCAGGTGTGTGCGCCATGGCCAAGGAATCCCCACCGCTTGAGACGTGCAGCGTAGAAACCTGGGAACGTCCGTGAGAGCTCTGGACGTGGACGGATGTGCAGGGTTGGACCCCTAATAGTCAGAATCCTTTTGGCACTGTCAGATGTCGCTGAGGACACGAACAAGGCTCTGACATCGCTGTCCATCGTGCCGTTTGCGGAGTGGCTCCCTGGCTGTGTTTCTAGGACTTAACGTTTTTATGAGGATAGGTCGTTGGGCTGCCCCCACTCTGGAGGGGCGGCAGGCTGCTTTTTTTGGTCAGCTCCCTGCCTAGGGTTGCCACCTTTCTAACCGCACAAAACTGAACACCCCTGCCCTGCCCCACCTGTTCTCCAAGGCCCTGTCCCCGCTCGCTCCATCTCCCCTCCCTCCATTGCTCACTGTCCTCTGCCCTCACTCACTTTCACCGGGCAGGGGCAGGGGGTTGGGGTGTGAGAAGAGGTGAGGGCTCCAGCTGGGGGCGTGGGCTCTGGGCTGGGGGTGTGGGCGCTGGGTGGAGCCAGAAATGAAGGGTTCAGGGTGCGGGAGAGGGCTCCAGGCTGGGGCAAGGAGTTAGGGTGTGTGTGTGTGTGGTGGGGAGAGGACTCCAGCTGGGGGTACAGGCTCTGGGGTGGGGCTGGGGATGAGGGGTTTGGGATGAAGGAGGGGGCTCTGGGCTGGGTCAGCGGGTTGAGGTGCAGAGGGGGTGAGGGCTCTGGCTGGGGGTGTGGGCTCTGGGGTGGGGCCAGGGATGAGGAGTTTGGGATGTAGGAGGGGCCTGGGGTAGGGGGTTGGTGTGTTGGGAGCAGGGGTGGGCTCCGGGAGGGAGCTTAGATGCGGGAGGGGACTCTGAGCAGGGGGTTGGGGTGTGGGAGGAGGTTCGGGGTGCTGTGTCCTGGCAGCACTTTCCACGGCTCACAGGAAGTGGCCGCCAGGTCTCTGCAGCCCCTAGACATGTGGGCAGCCAGGGAGGCTCTGCGTGCTGCCCTTGCCCACAGGTGCCAGCCCCTCAGCTCTCATTGGTCGTAGTTCCCAGCCAATGGGAGCTGCAGAGCTGATCTTCGAGGCAGGGGCAACACGCAGAGCCTCCCTGGTCGCCCATGCGTCGAGGGCCTGCAGGGACCTGGCGACCGCTTTCAGGATCCACGTGGACGTAGGGCAGGCAGGGAGCCCTTTGCGACCGGGCATTCTGGTGGAAAACCAGTCACCTGGCAACCCTATCCCTACCCTTTGACCTGTCCGGCATTGTTAAAACTCCCACTGGCATAGCTCTTAGGATCACTGGAACACACAAATCTTCCCATTACCTCAAGATCCAGTTCCTCAGGAAAGGCCATTAACACAGGACGTTTTATTTTCAAAGAGCTTTGCAGGCCTTGTCTACATACAAAAGTTCTACTTCTTTAACTATTGTAATATAAAGGAATACAACCCATCTGGTGTGAGCACACTTGTACTGGTATAGAAGTGCTTATACCAGTATATCCAGTCCTGTTTGGGGAGGGGAATAAACTATACCAGTATAAAGCATCTTTATACCAGTATAACTGTGTCCACACTAGGGCTTGTACTGGTATAACTGTATTAGTAAGAAATCACACCCATAGCCAACATAGTTATACTGGTATAAAAAATGGGTTTTGATCACTTGTACAAAAACTTTAACTAATCATCTTCACTCAAGCAAACGGACACTGGGCTCATGCCCAGAACTGACAATAGTCACCTATACACCAGTAACAGGTTTAAGGTCTTGTGTGGATGAAAATTGGAAGCTTCATGCCCATGGACACACCTTTGCTGCTCTAAAAGGTACTGAAATATGAGAGCTTAAAATCTTGGCATTAACAGTGATGCCAACTCTCATGATTTTTCATGAGTCTTGTAATATGTGGTGGTGTTCTTAAAGCCCCAACTCCTAGAGTCAGGTGATTGCCTGAAAATCTCAGCTTTCATTTAAAAACAACACCTAAGCTTCTAGCCCTCATGGTTGTGGGAAAAAGCTTGAAGACATGTATCCTAAAGGCTCTGAAAAAGAATCCAGAATTTTCTATTTTTAAAATCTCATGATTTTAAATCAACTGATGATTTTAGGGGGTTGGACTCCTCTGATTTGGAATGCTGGGGTAGCCAATAATGTTACTGTATATAGAAAAGCGGATTTAGGACTTTTTAGAGGTTTTTAAAATTAATTATAATTTGCCTCTCCCTAAGAGTTTTATACAGTTGACTCATGGTAACTGAGTCACCCTTTTCTTATAGACACGAGGATACAGAAAAGAGTCTGGATACAATATTATAAAACCCTCTAAAACAGCTTTCCTGTCAAATATGTGGCACATGCAGAATACACAACAGTGGGGTTATTAAAAAGATTTTGTCTATGCGAGTTTGGAATGGCCTACACAAACACAACACAATATATGTTAGAGAAGAAAGTTCATTAATTCCATCTGATGAAATCATATGATCATTTGGTCTGAGTGACTCAGGTCTCCTAGAATCTTTTCTGCTGAAATAAATTCACTTTGGGGAGCCATTCTTCTCACTTTTAAACACCTGCTTAGTGGATCTGTTCTGCTTATTGACATAAAGAAAGTCCTGAACCTTTCCATATTTAAGTATTAAATTTAAGACACACAGTATTTGTTGCTGCTGGCTTTTAACAGGCAATTGTTCACACTGTGGGGTGGATTAACTTTGAAATGTATTACTATTTTATGGGGCTCTACAATGCCTTGCTATGATAAAAGGTTTAGGTTGCTGTTGCCATTTTGCTGAAACAAGCCTATCTGCAGGCAAGTCTCTACAGCAAAACTGTGTAAACAAAGTTATACATATACAAATGAGAGGGGTTATCGAGAAGTTAATCAGCAACTAAGCTGGCGTTGTTTGAGGAAATGAACAATCGGAAACAAAATAAAGGGAAAAATAAAAAGAGCAGGAAGGAAGAAAAAAAGAAAACCTGTTCGGTAGATGTGCAGTTCTTGGCTTAAATTTTTCATGAGTACTGTGTATGCAGCCAGTGATCCAGCTGTGGAAGGGTTAAAGGTGACCTGCAAAGGAAAAATATATTGGGCTTGTGCCCTCTTTTGTTTATTGATACGCAAAGAAGAACTGAAAAGTTTGGTCTGGGTTTCTGTTTTTTTAAATTCTGTTTGTTGTTTTACATTAGAAATTCAGGCCAGTTTCTAGTATGGAAGACTCTGTTGTGTTTCTTTTCCTTTTTAAAGAGAAATTCAGTCCCTGTCTAGGCTGGAAGACCCGACGATGCCTGGTTCGTTGAATGTAAGAAACCTATCCGCCACCTGAGCAAAAACTAGCCTGTGTAGACACTAATTAAGAAGAAACCAAGAGAAGTCTTACCTGTCATGTAACATTTGATATCCTGAGCGTTGCTAATAGGGTTGTTGTTTTTGAACATATAAAGGTTGAAAGGCATTATGTTGTTGCTGCTCAGATGTTTCCACATATCGTGGTCTGGGCTTGTCCACCGCCCAGCTAACACATCATAGTCTCGCCGCCCCATGTGGATGAGTTTAGTGAGGGGGTCGTACAGACCTCCATGGTATCCGATGATGACCTGGAAATTGGGATTGGTGTCCATGTAGATCTCCCCGTATGCTGTGTACAGTATCTGCTTGATCATTAAGCCCGTTCCGCTGAAGACTGCCAGAGGGGTCCCGATGTTATCACAGGCTATGTAGAACTCATCTCCGCTGCTGAGCTCCATGGCAAAGAGGTGGCCTTGGAGATCATAGTAAAGGGAGGTGATCTCGGAACTTGAATGGTTGTACAAATGGGTGACCTTAGTGGGGTTGGTCAGGTCTGCATAGAAGAACTGTAAATGGTGGCCATGGGCAGTTTTGCTAGAAACTCTTCTTCCGAGACCATCATAGCGATATTTTACGCTCCATCCGCTTGCTTTACTGTATGCTTTAATGAGCAGGCCTGCTGAGTTGTACTCAAAAATGTCATTTCCCCTTTGTCTCAGGAAGCCATCTTCATCCATTTTGTACTGCACATCCCCCAATCTCGTAATCCTGTCCCTGAGGTCATACCTTAGGGGGGTAAGACGGGCACTGTTCCCAGGACTCAACAAATGGAGGTTTCCATTGAGGTCATAACTGTAACGCCAGAGTGGTTTGTCATTGATAGACACTGTCTGCAGCTGGCCATCAGCATCGTACTCATAAGAGTACCTTGACGTGTTTGCATATGGTCCGACCTTCAACTCCTTCTTCACCACTCTCCCCATGTTGTCGTACTGCACAGTCATCCAGTACATGAGTGACCTGAATATTTCATACTGGACCTCCTTCATCCTGCCATAGGCGTCAAAGTGCTTAGTGTGAGTCATGACGGCAGTGGTGATAATCTGATTGATGTCATAGTAGATGACCCCAAATTTACCAAATTGCTCCGTTTTGCCTGACACATCATCGTATCTGTAGAGATCGATGGGTAACGGTGTCTCGTTGATCACTGCTTGCATGCTGGTCACCCTGAAGCTGTTATCATAATTGTAGTCGAAGCGTGCATTCACCATGCCTTCCTCAGTGAAGCGGAAAATCTGGCGGTCGATGAGTGGGCCTATCTGCCTGTATCTGATAGTACAGGTGAACCCTTCATTCTGCAGGTTTATTGTCTTCAACATACCAGCAGTTTCATCGTAGGTGAAGCCAATCTTAGTGGTGTCATAGAGCATTTCAGCTAGCTTGGACAGCTTGCCATACTTGTAGATGACACGCCTCCCTGTTCCCAGGTAGAAGGTGTGAAGGAGCTGCCCTTCCTCAGTGAAATCCTGAATGACTGAGGCGTTGCCCTCTGGAGGCCGGTAGATGTTCCTGTAGTATCCAATGGACCGGATGGTTTCTAAGGTCTGCCGGGCGACATTGGGCATGGTGACTGATGACAATCGATCATTCTTATCAAACTCAAAGATGTATTGTCTCTGGCTGTGGAGAAGCAGCACCATGGACTAGAATTGGAGGGGAAAATGAATGAATTATTTTCTTAATTTTAAGTCATGATCATTCTCAATTTTTCAGAGCGTAAAATATTTCAGGACATGGGAAGTCTAGCCTCCACCTCATAGTGCATATGTGGCCAGCATAATTTAAGTGACCTGCAGACCTCACAGAGGAACTAATATGTGGCCAATCACCATCTGGCCACTTTACTTGGTTGATCCTCTCCTTTCCCCTTCCCTCTGTCTCTGTTTTATAGTGTTCAGCATCAGCTCTTCATGATGGGATTTCTACCTTATTTTGTGTCTGTACAATACCTAGCACCCAGGGGTGGTGATAGAATCTACTTTCTTTCATGTCTGTACAGCACTTAAGACACTGGCGGTGGGCACCAGAACACATAATTATTATAACAATAAGCTTAAGTAGCGAGAGGTACACACACAGCGAGAGACTCACTTCAGTGTGATCAGATGTGGTCAGAAGAGAATCAGGAAGGGTAATAGGCACTGGTGTAAGGTTTGCACTGAAGGCAGAGAACCAGGGACCCCTGGTTAGGATTGATATAAAAATACCCCCAGCCAACTCTCCCAAGTTCACGTCCCCATTTGCCACCATGGGGCAAACAGCTCGACAAAACCAAACAGGCAACCCTGTCCGTCTGCCGACAAAAGAAACTCATCTGCTACTAGCCACTTACCGCAAATTTCAGTTCTCTAACTCACTTGCATGTAATGCACATACCGGGATACAGTTTGATGCTTTATCCTCATTTATTATTTATATAATTGTAGAGCCTAAATGTAGGACCTCACTGTCCTAGGTGCTGTACAAACACATAGGCAGACACAATTCCTGCCCCAAAGAGCTCAAAGATGGATGAAAAGGAGGATGGATAATGTTATGGTTAAATCTCCTACTGATCCTGCAGCAAAGAGAAGGCATTTCTCACCCACCAAAGAGCATTCCATAACCAGCTAGATGGATTGGTCTCTCTCCTTCCCCACCTGCCCCTGCCACACATACTTCTTACGTGGCTTTGCAGAAGGCGGGATGCTAGACTTTATGGACTGTTGGTTCTACATTGTATGGAACATCCAAAATAAGTCTCTACTGTACTCTTATCTTTATTAGCACTAATGGTATCCGTAATTTGACTAGAATATAATTTGTTTTTACTGGAGACATTATATTACATCTAGCTCAGCAAAGGACTGTTGTATCTAAATAATCAAAGCTTTGCAGGGTTAAAACACATGCAGATGGGGATGGGGTTGGATGGAGAATATTGCCCTTTGGGCGATGATCAGTGCTAACTTTAGCTGTCGTCTGGGCTTAGTTTCTACAGTTATATGCATCTTAAAATAGGTAGATTTACATAGATGTCTGTGTATTAGACTCTAAGGGTCAGATCCCCATTGGTGTAAATCAGTGTCACACCACTGAAGTCAAAGGAGTGAAGTCAATTTACGCCACCTAAGAATCTAGCCCTAAGTCAGCAAACACAGTGAGTAGCCGTCAGTAAGTGACAAGAGAACACATACCTTCTCCAAGTAAGTGTAGCTCCATGATTTTCCGTCAGCAAAAATCCTGGATATAATTCTGCCAGCCTGATCGTATTCCATCCTTTCTGACATAGTTCCCCTCTGGATCCCTGCAATGTGTCCCCCTGGGGAATAAGTCACGTTAACTCCATTCAACCTGCTGCTAGGAGACCAGAGGCTAGGTCTGCCTGCTTGGTCATACAGGATCCGTAGAGTGAACTTGCGATGGTCATCATAGATTTTTTCTGTTCTTGTCACACGATCAAAGTCGAGGGACAGCAGGTTTCTGTTATGAACCTAGAGGGCAGAGGAAGAAAAAGAATTAGAAAGGCACAAATGGGTTTATTTGGCAAATTATAGCCCCTCCCCACCAAACACTCCTTTGGATCAGTCCCAGAACTACACAGACCTATGTATGAATTGTCTTAGGGCGAGATTTTCAAAAATATTCACTATTGGCCCAACTCTGCTTCCACTCAAGTCAACTGGAGTTGTAACCTGTGACGTCAGGGGGTGCACAGTTAGCACAGTGTTGAGTCCATTGGAAAGTCCTGCCATAGAGCATAGAGTGTTGGCTGTACCGCAAAACCATCACACATCCTCTGCTCACAGATGACGTAAGTCTGCATGAAGATATGCTGATAAAACTTTGCTGGGGAAGCTTGCAAGGTGCTTGCCTGCACTGTGCTGGGGTCATCCAAGTCCCTCACTTCCATGGATGTCAGAGTTCATACATTTAAAAAAGGACATGGTATTGAGTCATTGTGGTTGCAAATGCTGCGAGGAACAGTATGGATTATTCATCAGGTACAACTCATCCCTTGAGAGTCAGTCCTGAATCAGCTGGTGGTACAGGCTTTCCTATGAAATGTAATATGGAGGCCCTGACCATCTGTAGTCATTAAAGACCTCATGACCCTATTGCCAAGAAGAGTTGGGGTTGTTAACCCCAATGTCCTGGCCAATCCCACCATGGGTAATTACATTCCTGTTGCCTCAATTCCCTTTGCACTTTTAGTTGAAGGCCAGATCATATATATTTCAAAAGTAAAAGGAGAAATGTATTTTTGTTCAGAGACTGGTTTCAGAGTAACAGCCATGTTAGTCTGTATTTGCAAAAAGAAAAGGAGTACTTGTGGCACCTTAGAGACTAACCAATTTATTTGAGCATAAGCTATCCAATGAAGTGAGCTGTAGCTCACGAAAGCTTATGCTCAAATAAATTGGTTAGTCTCTAAGGTGCCACAAGTACTCCTTTTCTTTGTTCAGAGACTGTATCCCAAAGAACTACAGATAATAACGGATTATACACTACTGTTTAGCTATGTGTGTCTAAGAATTTATAAAGCCACATTACCATTGTATCTAAGCATTGTGCAAAACCGAAAAACACACACATTGAGAGCTGGCTGGTAGGGACAGTTATTCCATCCTACTCTGGATAAAATCAGGACTCCTAAATTGAATGAGATGTGGTGAAAGCCCTGACCTAGGTTTGATCTTGGACTGTTACTTTTCAGTACACTTCTGAATTCCCTGTGGTTCTGTTTTTCGGAGGGACTACAGAGATAAATAATTAACAGTAGAGGGAAGAGAAATTATTTTGTCTAGGTAAAAGGAGACAAGATATAGTTTGTCCTTAGTCAAAATTTGAAATGCAAAAGTGAGAACTACAGGAAGGCTGTTCCAAACAGTGAGAGATCGCATGAGCAGGGACAATACTGCATGGCATTAAGCAGAGAAGGCCAGTGCCAGAGAGGACAGAGGAGAAAGAGACCAGGACCATGAAGCAGGCTGGAGATAGTCTATGAATGGTTCTTAGAAGCAGAAGGGCACTTTTAAAGTGGATTGTGAAATGGGCAGCCTACAGAAGAGTTGACTGAAGAAGGAAATGATGTGATGGTGCTTTTGTGTGAGAAGGTGGGGGGTGATGTTCTGCACTTGATGGAGTGTGGAGAGCTGGGACTCTGGGAGGGTAAAGGAGAAAGAATCTCATTAGCTGAGGTGAGAGAAAGTAAAAGACATGGATGGGCAAAGATGGAGCTGAGGCAGGGATGTGCGTGTGCAGGCAGAAGATGAAGATTTACAGACAAAGAAGATACAGGAGGAAGAGGAAGAGAGGGCAGTGTTGACAATGACACCGAGGTGATGGATAACAAAGGTAAATGGAGGGCCTGACCTGAGGAAAAGAAAGGGCTAATGTGGAACCAAGGTAGATAATAAGAACATAAGAATAGCCCTACTGGGTCAGACCAAAGGTCCATCTAGCCCAGTATCTTGTCTTCCGATAGTGGCCAGTGCCAGGTGCCCCAGAGGGAATGAACAGAACAGGTAATCATCGAGTGATCCATTCCCTGTCGCTCATTCCCAGCTTCTGGCAAACAGAGGTTAGCGACACCATTCCTGCCCATCCTGGCTAATAGCCATTGAAGGACCTATCCTCCATGAATTTATCTAGTTCTTTTTTGAACCCTGTTATGGTCTTGGCCTTCACAACATCCTCTGGCAAGAAGTTCCACAGGTTGACTGTGCGTTGGGTGAAGAAATACTTCCTTTTATTTGTTTTAAACCTGCTGCCTATTAATTTCATTTGGTGACCCCTAGTTCTTGTGTTATGAGAAGGCGTAAACAAAACTTCCTTATCTACTTTCTCTACACCAGTCATGATTTTATAGACCTCAATCATATCTCCCCTTAGCTGTCTCTTTTCCAAGCTGAAAAGTCCCAGTCTTATTAATCTCTCCTCATACAGAAGTCGTTTCATACCCCTAATCATTTTTGTTGCCCTTTTCTGAACCTTTTCCAATTCCAACACATATTTTTTGAGATGGGGCGACCACATCTGCACAAAGTATTCAAGAAGTGGGTTTACCATGGATTTATATAGAGGCAACATGATATTTTCTGTCCTATTATCTATCCCTTTCTTAATTAGTCCCAGCATTCTGTTAGCTTTTTGACTGTCGCAGCACACTGAGTGGATGTTTTCAGAGAACTGTTCACATGACTCCAAGAGCTCTTTCTTGAGTGGTGACAGTTAATTTAGACCCCATCATTTTATAGGGTATAGCTGGGATTATGCTTTCCAATGTGCATTACTTTGCATTTATCAGCATTAAATTTCATCTGCCATTTTGTTGCCCAGTCACCCAGTTTTGAGAGATCCTTTTGTTGCTCTTTGCAATCTGCCTGGGTCTTAATTATCTTTCGTAATTTTGTATCATCTGCAAATTTGCCACCTCACTGTTTACCCCTTTTTCAAGATCATTTATGAATATGGTGAATAGGACTGGTCCAAGAACAGACCCCTGGGGGAAACCACTATTTACTCTCTCCATTCTGAAAACTGAGCATTTATTCCTACCCTTTGTTTCCTATCTTTTAACCAGTTACCAATTCATGAGAGCACCTTCCCTCTTATCCCATGACAGCCTACTTTGCATTTAAAATGGACTGTAAATGGATAATGGGAGAAACAGGAAATCAGCCAAAAGCCCAGCCTCCGCTTCCCACAACTCCCATTGGCTGGGAACAGCGAACTGCGGCCACTGGGAGCTGCGGGCAGCCATGCCTGTGGGCGGTCAATGTAAACCCTGTCTCACGGCCCGCCAGCGGATTACCCTAACTACCTTGATGGGCCACGTGCGGTCCGAGGGCCACAGATTGCCCACCACTGCTGTAAGTCTTTACACAGGCAACATCCCATTAGCTTCAATGGGAGTTTGCCCAAGTAAGGACCAAATACGGACCTCTAGATGTGGTCCAGTAACAATATGTCATTTCCTTAGATTTATAAATATAAATCTTGTGCCAACCGTCTGTCCTGTGAGCTTGACCCTGAATGATACTGAATGCTGTGGCCCATCAAAGCACTTGATCATGGGACAGATTTTTAAAGGTATTAAGGCACCTAACTCTTATTTAAATCAATGAGAGTTCGGCACACAGCTACCTTTAAAATCTGGTCCCATGTACTTAACCAGCGTCTTCAAGACTGAGATCTGGGTGAGCACCCCTACATTTAAATCTCAAATATACTCTTCCCATCTTTATACATAATTAAATATCCTCCAGTTAATGTGAGGGACACTAACAAACCCCAGACTCGCAGCCCAGAATAGATCAATAAAACAGGTGAGCCTGCTTTGGAATTGCAGTGTCACTCATTACCAGCATTGACTTTTAACCTTCTTTTGGGTCTTCTGTAGCTAAAAATATTGTCAAACTAATGAGCATCAACATCCTCTGGAGCCAGCCTTTGCATGTGAGTCACAAAGCCCTGAAAATGAGGATTCATAATGAAAATGCAGAGGCAACCTTAACTATAAGAGTGCAAATGGCACGTCTGTAATTAGAGCTCCTTCCCTAGGGGTTGACTGAACACAACTGACAGAGAAAAAGTATTGCCTGCATGAAATTCCCATGGCAAATAAGCTGTGGTTATCGGTGTGTCCAAGTCTGGGCTTGTTCTCTTTATAGATATTCTGGGCACGAGGTTAGAATGTTTTAATTGTTCAGTAATGGTTAGCAGCATCATCTCCAAGAGCTCTGCAGTAACGCAGGCTGTGATGAGAGGTAGTGTTGTGACAACTAATGTTTCCGTGGCTGCTATCTTGCAGCCAGCATCCTGGTGAATATGAGACTATTCTCAGTGGGTGCTTCCCTGGTTACATAAATAAAACTGATTAAGCAGACAGTTCTGTAATTGTCAGCCATCCCACGTGCTCCACCGCCAGAGATTATTTTATATCCTTCTTTATTAAAAAGTTCATGCTCGTAAAAAGAAAAAAATGAGCTACATTATCAGGAGCAGTGTTCTAGCTAACACTCCAATTTGGGACGGAGCCTGCGCACCTCCATTTGTTATTGGTGGAGTGGAATTTGCAGCCAGCCAACCAGCAAGACCATCAATCTGTTGCACCGATAGGGCCAATTAGAGCACGGAAGCTTTCATCGAGTCTGTGCAGGATATGTAAAGGTAAAGGTTTGCTGCAAGGGCTGCAGACTGATGAGGCACAAACAGCCAGGTCAGCAAAGCTGGAACTACGAAGAAGGCTGACAAACACTGTTACATGCAGTGGATCAGTGAAGCTGAACATTAACACGTGTTAGGGGCCAAATCCTCTCCCCTGTGCAAAGCCTGAATATACAGGATCCCTGGTGGATAGATTCCTTAGCTCTTCCTTTCACAGACTTACAGAGGGGTAGATCTACTAAGTCTGTGGATACTGTTGCACCATGCAGCCTACACTGTGAATTCTCCCCCTCAATACGCTGGCTGTTATGGCTCGTGGATCAACATAGGGACCAACTAAGAAGGGGGCTTTATTGAGCTGGGCACTGTACAGATCAGTAATCACTGTACAGATCAGTACAGTACTGATCAGTAATAGACTGTACGGTCTGATCAGTAATAGACAATCCCTACCCCCAAGCGCTTCCATCTAAACAGATCAGACAGACAACAGGTAGATGACAGGGATGGAACGTACAAAGCAGCGTGATCTATGTGATGGCAGCAAACATGTTAGTGTCACATTTCCCCCCCTACACCCCATCCCCAACAGATCCACCAGCCACACACTTTCCTCTCCCACTTGTTGGCCTTGCATGAACAATAGAAGAAAACAGAAGGAAGGAAGCAGAGATTTAGGGCATGTCTACACACACAGCACTGTAGTGGCACGGCTGTACTGATGCAGCTGGGCCATTGCAGCACGTCTGGTGAAGATGCTCTAAGCTGACAGGAGAGAGCATAATAAAAAGAACTAGATAAGTTCCTGGAGGATAAGTCCATCAGTGGCTATTAGCCAGGATGGGGCAGAAATCGGTGAAAGTTGCTGTGAACCCCAAAAGGTTTTTACACAGCTGTAAGTTTTGCAAGTCTTTCTATCCTTAGAGAACAACATGTTTGCTAATTTCATTATGTATTACATGGAAAAAGAACATTTGAGCCAACTGATCCACATGCACAAAAGCAGCTTCTAATGAGGAGGGTTCAGATGCACATGCCCAGCTCCCAGTGACTTCTGCTTGCAAAAATTTTCTCTCTTGGTAATGAAGGAAACTGAATGTCTACGGTAATGTTCATGTTGGAGGACGAGGTCAGGAGTGGCTTTATATACAGGCAGAGTGTAAAACAAGTGTGTGTTTATTTGAGTGAAGAGTAGAAATGACCCAGGAGTGGCAAGGGGCACACAGCAGGAAAGAGGAGAGGATGAGAAGCAAGGAGCAGAACATTTATATTCTGAGACTTGTGTGTTGTTATTTACTGCATAGCCCAAGTGTGCATAAATAACTGCTCGAATCCCATCTCTCTAGTGACATTAACCAACACTCTGAGCATCACTCTCGGAAGGTTTGATCCTGTCAAGTGCTGAGCACTACCTCTGAGCTGCTCGACTCCAGGAGTGGCTGCTTATATGGCTGTGTAGTCAATATTATTATTACAGCTTAATCAGCAACGGAATTACAGGCTTATTGGGTAGATCTTTAAAAGGCTCCAACTAGTACATAAAGTACATTGTCGTGTGCACAGCTGTGTTTTCCAAACATGTCGTTCACAAGCACAGAAACTCTGCGCCCCCCTGAAAGGGAGAACAAGAGTTAGAAGATGGGCTTTTGGTGTGCATGACATTCTCTATAGGTGCGCAAATGCACGTTCCAAGAATCCCATAGACTCAGCTCCTCAACGCAGTCAGCAGAGTGGCAAATTTAAGGAAATAGGAAGATTTTCAGACTGCATGTTGAATGAACAATGAGGTTTACAAATTGCCCATGTTCAGACTTATGTTCAAATCCAAGTGCCTAGTGCAGGGGTTCCCAAACTTGTTCTGCCGCTTGTGCAGGGAAAGCCCCATGCGGGCTGGGCCAGTTTGTTTACCTGCTGCGTCCGCAGGTTCGGCCGATCTGATCGCGGCTCCCAGTGGCCGTGGTTCGCAGCTCCAGGCCAACGGGAGCTGTTGGAAGCAGTGCGGGTCGAGGGACATACTGGCCGCCGCTTCTAGCAGCTCCCTTTGGTCTGGAGCAGCAAACCGAGGCCACTGGGAGCTGTGATCGGCCGAACCTGCGGACGCGGCAGGTAAACAAACCGGCCCGCCCCGCCAGGGGCTTTCCCTGCACAAGCGGCGGAACAAGTTTGGGAAGCACTGGCCTAGTGCAACTGGAAATACATGTGCAGCTCTGTGCACCTGCGTTCTTATCTGTGCACTGAACATGCCCGTTATGTGTGGTTTGGATGTGTGGCATTCCACATAATACACAGGAACTGCAAGGGAACTAGCAGTGCCATCCACGATGGCTCAGTCAGGACATAGGGAGAAGTATTAAAGGCTGTCTCAGCTAGGGATACAGACAGAACTACAGGGTCTGTCCATCCTCCAGGCTCAATAAAAAATCCCCATTATATTCATTGCAACTGGGTCCTGCCACGCTCTACCGTGAGACTGAGTATGCCTGAAAGATAAAATCAAGCGTCACCCGTACTGCCTGTTGCTCACCCTCAGCCTGCGTCCAAAGACAGTGACCTGCCCTCTAGCTTGTTCCTTCCGCTGCCTCCACTCAACCAGATTGAGGCCATTGTCGATGGGCAGGGTCACGTTCCTCTTCCCCACTGTCGGGTTCACGGTGCCAGCCAGCAGGTGGGGTTCAGTCTGCAGTGCTACCTCCATGCCGTTAGCAAGCATCAGCCTGAGAGAGCCATCAGCGCCGATGTAGTAGCTGTTTCGGACTTGGTCTGGAGAAAGGTAAGAGATGGGCTCAAGCCAGTGACTGATGACAGAAACCCACATTTAATTATTTTCCTTACCTGAGTTATTGCCAAGCTTGTTGATGCCTTTTAACACTCACCTTTACTGTTCACCATTAATGTCTGTTTGGAAACTGTCCATTTCTCTTTCATAGCTAGAGAAAGCTTCACTTTCTGGACTGCACGCACTTGCACAAAAACCGTTATGCAGGTTAACCAAGATGACAGGGGAATAATGTGTAATACTCTGGCATAGCGTGTGTGTTCAGGCCCCCCTGTAGGGGCTGGCTGCAGCTAGGATAAAAGCCTGCTACTCTCTCTTAGCTAACAGAGTTATTCCTTTAGCTCACATAGTGGGGCTGGTGGGATTTTGCTGCTGAAGGTCCTGAATTCTATCCTTTCTGAAGCTCGTGTGTGTCCATTGTTTGTAACTTTACATCCTAAAACAATCCTGAAATATCTGCCTCTATTTATCTGTACATAGATATGTAATTTTGAAAATATGTCTGTTTATATTAAGTCTTGCAACCTCCTTCGGTGGAGACCAGGTTCTGCAAGTGGAGCCAGCTGCTCTCCTCAGTCTTGTTCCTCCACCCCAAGCAGTGGGGATTCTCACTGTCACTCAATGCTAACTGCTTGCCCAATGACGTGCTCCCGTCTTCCCTGAAAGAGGATTCTGAGGCACCAACAAGTGCTGTGGGTCAGGTGAGAGTGCATAGGCACAGTGCTTCCATATGGCCTCCAGTGGATCCTGAAAGGGATCTTAGGAGATCTACAGATTCCATGGATCAAACCCCACCAGTTCAGAAGTGGAGGGGAAGGGCAGTATTCCTGCCTTCCCTCCCCAGGCTCCCCCAGGAGAAAACCAGGCAGAAACCCCATCAGTCAAAATTCACAGTTTCCAAGCACCTAGCGGAGAAGCCCTTGGAGGGTTTGGGCTCCACTCAGTGTGAAAGGGTTGTTCAAAACCCATTACGCAGTGAAGGCTGGGGAACGCTACCATCTCTGTCTCCCTGGCTGCTGTAAATACCTAACTGTGAATACAAAAATTCCTTTAAAAATTAATGAAAACCGTTTTTCCATTTTGAAGCAAGTTACATTTGTTCACTAGCTGCTCTCCTGCAGCTCGAGGGGAAATCAGGTCAGAGCAAAATTATCATCTCTCCTCAGCCTAGGATATATTGGCAAATGGCACAACAGGATACAATTAGGAGAGGAAGCCTAAAGCTGGCTGGTCTCTTTCATTATAGGCCTGATCCAGCACCCTCTGTAGCCAAATGGAGTTTTCCAACGATCTCAGCTGGACCAGATAAGCCACATGCATGCAGATAACTAAGTGATAGACTGACACCATTACTGCAGTGACACTGGAATTTACCAGTGCATATCCAAGTACTGCAGTGATCCAGGACTGCAGACCCAAAGCCCTTTGAATATCTCAACTGCACAGTCAAAGCCAATAGGAGTCTTTCCACTGAACTTCAACAGGCTCTGGATCTAGCCCGTAGACACCAAGGCCTTGAGTCCCCAGGAACATTGGAGACGGCCTGTCAGGGGACTGGCCAGAGCTCCCTGATTCTAAGCTGCCCAGACTTGGCGTAAGAGCTGCAGCATAGCAAATTTAACTTATGCCAGTGGAGAATCAGGCATAGCAGAGACTCACTCTGCTCCTCTGCCCTCCTCACATCTGACATCCCCCCTCCTCCTCACCAGGATGGGGGGGTTCTGGTGCAGGAAGTGACAGAGCTGCCTCTGGCAGCTTTATGCCGCACAGATGGGGACACCATCTGTGGGACTCTCAGGACACTTTATGTTCGCCCTGCTCCACATTAGCAGTGTCCACTGGTGCATCCAACCCCAAGAGCATGGTCGTCAGTAGCACACAGCCCCGGGAATAAAACTCTGGACCTTTTACCTCCACCATTTACCCTGACGGAGACTCTCCCCTAGAGCTAGCAAGAGGGCTTTTCCCTGGAGCTCTGCGAAATCCAGCTGTCTTTCTGAGCAGGGTTTTATGCCAGCCTCAGTGTGGGTTTTGATTCTGCTCAGTGTCACACTGTCAGTCCTGCATCAAACCATATATCAGCCCAGTTTTGCATTTGGTTCAGCCTGAGTCTGCTCAGAGCTCAGTCCGGGTTTCTTGAAAAGGTTCATGAGAGGTTCAAAGCCAGTTTGGGGTTCATCATGAAGCTCTGCACCAACCAACCATGCCAGGGCTCATGCTAAGAGTTCTGTCAGTACTGTACGTTCTCTCCTGAACAACCACTGAGAGGGAGAGACAGTCTTAAAACCCCAGAGCAGATCTGGCTGCACCCACTAGCGTGGAGTGGCACACACAAGACAGTAAATTGCTGCCGCTCCTCAGCCAAGCGCTGGTTGATCTGCACACGGCATACTCCAGAAACCTCTGTTCAGCCACCCCTGTGCTGCTCCCTCTATCACTGTCCCACTGCCTTGGAACGAGTGGTTCCCCCTCCGAGCACTTGCTGTTTTGGAATTTTCTGTGCTCTCTACCTGGGAGACCACTAGGCCGAAGGCGTAACACCACCTCTACCATATAATCTCACTCCACGCTGTGAGTTAGCTGAGTGTGTTAGGCATCTGGCAGGCTAAAACGCTTGGTTTATGGGCCAACATGCAGACTAGATCTCTCTAACAATTTCTTCCTGAAGCCTCTTTTCTGTCCCCTGGCAGAAAGCCAGTTCTGGCTGAGCGAGGGAGAAGTATTCTTGCATCTTTTAAAGTAGGCTGCCCGACTATGCCCTGGCCTAGAATCACTCTGTAGGCGGCCCTTGCAAACATGGCTAATCAGGATTTGTTCCTGATGGGACTGCACACACCTTCCTGACTCTGCAAGAAAGCTAACGTACCAGAAAGTTCACTTCATTTGGTAAAAGCTCATTTCTCCGCTCAATCTTCTCTGTGAGCCAAAAACACTGTCTTTGTCATTTCAAACTATTAAAAATGGCCTTTTGTCCTGCCTTGTCCGGTGTTGTTGGGGGACGCCACAATGAGATTTATTGGGCAATTTATTGGCCTTTGGCTCAGGAGGCATAAATCACATTGCAGTCAATTATCTCACTAAAGAGCCCCCAACCGCGGGTTCTATTGCTTAATTAGGCTCCTGAGGTGAAGCCAACCTCACATCTGAGCCTTTGTCAGACACGTGTGGATTTTTGGCTGGGCTAGTTATGGTTTCAGTTGGTTTGTGTTCTGTCGTCCACAAGGAAAAGTCACCGCACACCAGCTATGCCCTAGGGCAATGTAAGGTACAGCCTGACGGGGCCTGGGCCCCAGACTGCTTTCTCCGTGGCCAGGGAAGGTGCTCACAGATATAGGAAGCAGTTTCCTATGCGGGAGATTACCTTTTGCCATAGAAAAAAAAAGGAAATTAACCACCCAGACATCTGTTTTTTAAGGAACCAGAGTGGGGGTGAGACAGAGCTTGCTGGCCCTTCAACCGAGCCAGCAGGGAGTGGGGAATGCAGAGGGCTTGCCAGCCCCCAGGGACCGAGACTGAGCACAGCCTGAGCCCCCAGGGAGCGGGGCTAAGCTTCAGATCCTCAGCTTCAGGAAAACACTCTTGACATCTACAAGTGCTTCTGGAGTGTAAACTTCTGCTTTGATCACAGTGCCGCACCCCCTGCTTTCCTCCCACCTCATCCTTCTTTCCACTCTCTCTACTCCCTTGCTTGCCACCTCTTTCTCCCCCCCCCACTACTTCTCTAACCTTACCCCTCCCTACTTGTCCCTTCTAGCAAAGTCAGCAGAGCTGTGCCAATTTACACCAGCTGTGGATCTGGCCCAGCACATGCAGCAATCACTGTGCTAATTTACTACCTTGCACGCATCCCCTCATCACTCACTCCTCCTTCCTGCTGCCCCCCTCCACTTTGTGCACAGACTCTTGGGGGCAGGGAGCGTGTACTGGTCGTTTCCCTGGATGGTGCTCAGTGCATATTGCACAAAGAATAACAATCCCCAATACTCAGCTTCCTTAATTGAAACCTACTCTGGTGGGACACACAATGACTCTTTAAGCGGGAAGCCATTAAAAGAGTGAAGTAACAGGTCTACCAGAGGAGCAGTCAGGTTTAGCTAGCCCTTTGGTTTGAATAATAATGGTAATGACGAGGGAGTATAGCACTGCACAGCTCGGCAATCAACTGAGAACCAAGTGGAAATCAGCTGCAGAATCAACAGCGAGCCCTGTAATGTTTCCTGTTGCTTTGGTAAGTAGGTGTAAGTGGTGTGCACCAGCATGTTGCAGGGCGCTGGGTGGAAGGTTTTTCTGGTGCTGGGATTATTAAGATGCCTGTTTCCTGCTGTGTAATCCTTGGCGTGCAGCTGAACCTGGGGTAGGGGCAGTCGCTTGGCTCACCTTGCAGGAGGGTGTAGAAAGCGCCTGATGCTGACAGATTGGTTGTTATGGTAACGTCGTCCTTGCTGGAGGTTTCTACCTGGACGTGCACTGAGCTGTCGGTATCGCTGCGGAAGCTGCTGACTTGGCCTGTGGGGAAGGTGACGTTGGTCAGGCGGCCAAAGCTGTCGTACCTGAAAAGGAGGATGGAGTGTGATCAGTACCATTAACAGAGGAGGAGGATCTATGTGCTGCCCTACGAAGAACAGGCCAGATCTTGAAGCCCTTACACAGATTCTACTGCGGCAAAGCTCCTGCTGATTTAGCTCGCTCCCAGGACCTCCACCGACTCCACTGGGAGTTTTGCTTCTGTTAAAGGGGTGCAGGTTTGGCTCAATAACTTCAGTCATGTAATTTTTAGCTGGTATTTTAAACACATGCCCCCTAAGTTTATCACCTCCATTCTGCTCCTTATTTACATTCACGGCTATCTCCTCAGATCTATTCAATGAGTCTGTCTCTATCCCACACAGAAGGTTCTTTGTGCCACCACATACAGCTAGTCCCTTTGGTCCTGTTCTTATCCCTTTATACTATGGCAAGTCTCTGATTATTTCTGTCTTATTTTAAAAGTGAAGATTTGGGCAGGTGAAAGAAGCCAGATTGATAGCCTTAGAAAATGAAGTCCCCTACTTACATAAAGTGCACCGCTCCAGTAACCACAGCCTAAGCTTCCCCCAACACCACCTTGCCAGTGTGCCTCAGTATTGGAGGGGCCAATACAAATGGGTGAGACAGTAGCTCGGTCTCCACCTCTATTCATTCCTTGGCTTTTCCTGGATTGTGTCATAGAATGAGTTGGGTTTTAGTTTATCAATGAACAGGGGAAGCAGAAAGCCTGTGGCTGGACCTCCCCAGAAGAGTACTCCAATGGGGGTGCTCATGCTGAAATTACCTCTCCTTGGCTAGCATGACAAAGAGGGACCACATACCACCAGCCCCTAACATCATGGCATTGCCCAAGCAGTTCCCTCTGCCAGAAAATGAGCTAAAAGCAGGGATGTAGCAAGGGGACTATACCCTGAGGAGAAGAGCTTCCTAAGGCAGGGTTTTCCCAAGTGTAAGCTGGGAGTGGAGAGCAATGGGAAACCAAAGTGGCACAATTCCCTAGAGCCCTTGGGCCCAATGAGGAGATACTACAGCGATGGGGTCATGGAAGCAGACAGGGAGAAGAAAGAGTAAGAATCCTGCCCTCCCCCACACCAAAAATAACCAGTGATAAATGGGGCTTAAGCCATCCCACCCCTGCCCACTAAAGCATGACAGCAACTGGAGAATACAATGACAGAATGTCCCCCACCCTCAAAGATCCAAGAACAGGGAAAAGTGTCCCAGCAGCACTATCCACCAGAGCAGAAGCCTGAGAGAGGCCATGGAATTGTTGCTAAGGCCATGCCCATCACCATGGTATCTGAGCCCCTAACAATGACAGAACAAACTGCTCACCCCCAAATGCGTTTTCCCCGCTATTTCACACCAGCAGGCCCAAATTCACTTCTGTTCCATGGGACACCAAATATGAACAAACCAAATTCAACCCTGGGGCAAGTGGCTCCCATTTCACTGAAGTCAGTGGGGTGGTGGCTGTTTACACCTAAGGGATGGAGTTGGCCCCTCATGTGTAAGGATGTGATTATTTTTAACCAACTTAAATATTTAGAATAAATGAAAGTGAGCAAAAGTGTTAACTGGCTGTTGTCTCTAGATTCTGGGCCTCAGCCAGAGTCTCTGGAGTCAAGGTCTACGTAGGTTATGATCTTCCCATCCCCTGGGTGGGAAGGAGAGTCTGGCCCACAGTCATGTCACACTCTCAGTCATGGAATTATTCACACTTGGAGAGCTGGGCACAATGCCCTGGTAATTAATTAGCTTGTTGTGAAAAGAGAGGGGAAAAGAGAATAAATTCAGGACAGTTTTTGTGAGTTTGGCATAGACCAGTTAAGCCTTTCCCAAGTGACTTTAGGAGCACAGGATTTGGGTCTGCATTGTTTGTTTGTTTTTAAAGCTGGAAGTCAGATGAAGTGCTCTGAATACAGAGTAACTTTCTTTGCTCATTAGTTGTTGTTTTGTCTGCCACGACGGGAACTCAAGCATTTTGGTTGCTAAGTGTCACTGTACCTCCTGTAAGGATATATGTGAGTCTCCTACTTGAAAACACTATGTAACTTCATCCATCAGCTGAGTCCCAGCAGATATCCTTATGCCACCTGCAGCGGCAGTGAACAAGGGACATTATTTAGTGTCTTTGTCCCACGGAGGAAGCACATCACTGGTCACTGTCCCCAGTGGTGTGTTAAATAACAGCACAAGTGTTTTTTATACTGACACCAGTATTTCCACGGTATGCATCCGATGAAGTGAGCTGTAGCTCACGAAAGCTCATGCTCAAATAAATTGGTTAGTCTCTAAGGTGCCACAAGTACTCCTTTTCTTTTTGCTAATACAGACTAAACACGGCTGTTACTCTGAAACCAGTATTTACACAGAGTGCCACCCTAAAAGTAGCGATGAGCTCAGATCCAGTCCCCCCGTTCTGCCACCCAAACTTCAGGGAACTTCTGTCTCTGAACCCGACAGTTCAGACCTGGAGCATCAACAACCTCAGGGCAAGGATGGTGCTAAAGAGTCAAGTCACGTATAAAAATGTGAGATGGTGGTCTGATACAGCCCTGTTCTCTTCTCCTCTTATTATGGGGCTAGTCACTGAAGTCTAAGGGTTGTTACACCGGTGTAAAACTGGTGTGAGTGAGAAGAGAATCTGGACCATAGATTAGGGACAGAGCAGGTTCAATAAAGGTGGCTGCAATTTCACCCAAGTCCTAAGAGCACTATGATTGATTCTAAGTGAATGATATTCAGCCCCAAAAGGCCTTTACTCGCTGCCTCCCCCCTACCGGAGCCTTTCTCCACTTCCAGAGTCTTTCACTGCAGAGGGGAAAGGCTCCAGCACTACACTGCTAAATATAGCAGTGTAGACAAAGGAGGACACACCATATTTGGCGTATGCAATCCGGTCAAGCCAAGTCACAGTGTTCTTATCAACAATGTTCGAGGCACAAAGACCTCCTGGAAGCTGAGTCATTTTGCAGTCCTGAACAATATATAGGAGGCACTGCATGGGCATGAAGAGAGCCATGTAGGGTATATATCCTCGGGTTCAGGCACGTGCCTTGCTGTACACACTCTTATTTATACCTATGCTAGCGGTGCACGCAGTGTCTGTACTGCACACGCCACTGTAAGCGTAGACCCACTCTAAGTCACCAGCTTTAAACCGAGCTCCTCCAGCCCCTCAGACACTCATCAGCAACTCCAGACTCCCTCTACTCCCCCATCTTCGACACTTTGCAGCACTCAGCCAACCACTAATCACAAGCACCATCCAGTTCCCACCCATCTGCACATCGCGGACACCTGCTAGCACTCACCCATTCATGTACACTAGCTGGCCTCCAGACTCCCTCTCATCTCATCTACCTCACTGACAGAGGACAAGTTCTATGCAGCTACACATTCTGGCCTTGCCGCTGCTTGGGGCAGGAGGATTTGGAAGTCTTCAAATAATTTACACATTCACAAAGTAACTCAGACATATATATACACACACACACACACAGGTATGGGTGCTAATTTGCATATATGCAAATCTTAGATGTCAGGGCACCTAGAGCTTTATACAGGCTTATTATATTTTCATCAGAATAAAAAAAGCTAAACATAATTTAAATAAAATGTCACACATGCAGCTTAATAAAACACTGTAGCTATGGTGTTGAATGTCACCCAAAAGCTAAGAGAGGAATTTGGGGTTGAGAATTAGAGATAACTTCAAACATCTGCATTTTAAGTATTCTAAATGACTATTCCACCTCCATCCCATCTGCATTAGGAACCGATGTGGGTATGGTACTAGTTTACTCTGGGGGTGATAGCTCACCTATTCACAGCTGTTAAAAGGTCACATCCGACGGAGGGGAATGTGAGACGATAGCGCAACTGCACTATTAACATTTTTATTATTATTTTTAATTAGTGGCAGACGAAGTGTAAAAAATTCATGTCCAAACAAAAGCCTTTTAGCACTCAGATGGCAACACAAAAGAAGGCTCAATATAAATGTGAGTTATGACCGACATTCCCATTTGGACACAAAGTGCTTTTCTCATGGCACATTTCTTTTCCTCCTTTCTCATTATATATTTTGCTTATGACTGGAGCACTTTGCCCTTTTGTCTTGGATTAGAGTGTATGGTACATACAGGATGCAGTTTATTATACACTCTCACAACCCCATGGGTCCCTCTGACTTTAAGGCCTCCGTGTTTCTGAATAGATAATAAGTTTTAACAAGTCACAGTGAATGACATGGATGTTTCATCTCTTTTCACCTCCGCCTCCACAAAGTCATTTATATGACAGATTCCCAGCTCTGAGAGGAAGGCCAGGTGACTGGCTCTCATGTAGATGCAGGTGTGTCCTGGTATTTGTAGTAAGATAAATCTCTAGTCAATTCATTTAAAAGCTAAGCTGCATGGACCTGTTTCCACAGTCTCAGGATTTTGAGGTGGCCCAGTTTTCATCACAGCCTAAGACTTTTGTGTTCTCCAAATGCTACAAAAGCACCAGAATTAAGGAAATTCTGAAACATGGGAATGAGCACAGCAGCACTCAGAGCAATGAATTCATCACCTGATAATGGAACTGCTGCCTCCTATTCAAACCAACTGCAAAGACTCGGCTTTTACAATTACAGTGACAATTATTAGGCCGGCAAAGGAAGCTGTTGCCATCCATCCCCAACTGGAAATTTCTTTAGCTAAGGTTCAATGCACAGAATTAAAATGGTATTTGGTACTTACGAGACCTAATTGTTAAGCTTGTAAACATTCAGAGCTTTCATTTATCACATTACTGCTGTATAGAAGCGTGATCCCTGGGAATCAAAGCAGGGTCACAAGTACTGTCTATTCAGAAAGTCAACTTGTTCCAGGATTCCCGAAGGCTCCTCATTTTAGTTTTTTCACAGTTCATCAGCCTTTTGCAACTAGCAGTCAAATAGGTTGGAAAAATACTCCATACTTATGTTACATTTAGTGCCAAAGGCTCTGAATGCACCTCACAAACTATATTTTGT